CTTCAAGATATCCTCAATTCCCCCTAACATGCCTTTTTGCTTGTGATATACAAAAATGAAGTGTTGCTAAAAACCTAGCAAGGACGGTCTCACCACACTAAATATCAAATCATGCCATGTACAAATACATGCATGAATGCCTTCGTTAAATATTCAATTCTGATTTGAAAACTTAAGCCTGAAAGTTTTCTTTTAATTGTTAGAAGAATCGTAAGTATTTCAAAATTCCTTTTGATGTTATTTTACAGAGATCTAGCCGAAAATGCTCCCCAAAAACACAACAAACGGCGAAATAAGCAAGCAGAAATCAGCAAAAACCAGTGTCAAAAGTTGAATGGTGTTGCAAAGTAACAGTTTACATATCAAAAAAATCACTCACTTCTTCAACTAGTCGAACTGGTAGGGAGTTCATCCTAACAATTTAAAAGTGGCAATAGCGTCTCTGGAACTACTTAGCAAGCTATGCATACAGCTTCTTCTAGCCGCTGCAAGGAGATGTGAAGGCGTGTGGCATGTTTACCAGGATGTGGGTAATGTATGCGTTATAACAAAACTCAGTGCATCCTCAGAAAAAAAAACAGCGCAAAGAAGTTGTCCGTCAGAACTATCCAGGAGATTTGCGTGCACGCGAAGCGTCACTCACCTGAATTGGTGAGGCTGCGGAAGCCTTAGCCCGAGTGTCTGTTGTTCGACTTCGACGCGCACTCAGATGCTGTCCCATCGCATCACGCAGACAGACGTCGTCGTCAACAAATGAATTCGGTTCGCTAGGATGGCCCGCGTAGCCTACTGCGTGTATTGATTGCGGTGCTGGCCGACCGACAGCGATTCCGTCTGTTTTCGCTCCGCCGCTCTCCCGCCATACACTCACTATTTCGTTTTTATCTCACACACATACCACCCACATCCTTACGCCATCATGGCACGCCTTCTTCTGCCCATGCCTTCGCTACCGACTTGGAAAAAGATACAATCCAAAAGCTTTCACTCGTGTAACAAGTGAGATCTCAGCGAACGTGCATGGATATGAGCAAATCATGTAAACTCTTGTAGAAGTGCGCAAAGTACGAAACGCTTAGTATAGATAGTAAGCTACATATGTAACTATGTACGTAACAAAACACTTACACCAAATGATGGAGCAAGAAACATGCCCGGATGTTCGGAATAAATTAGTTAGCAGCTAAGCCGATTATGTAACAGCTGTCACTTAAGCACTGCACCACCGAACCAATCAAATAGAATGAGTGTAGCATGACTGAGGATTAATGCGCAGTTCCCACATCCTACACTTTTACAGGGATCTCGCGAAAAGCTTCTCAGTGGTGAGAATTCGTACAATAGTAAACGGAAACATGAATAAAGGTAAAAAGATGATGTAAATATATAGCATCTAAATCTATAAGAATTGTCACAAACCTCTGTCCTTTGCTCATTAAGTTTGTCAAAGTGCTCCTTTAAAAATAAAACTGGATTCTCTGGCTTGTGAATGCAGAGCGCAACTGAAATTTAACCATTAATGAAACGAAACTGTGTGCGAAGTGATGTAGACCGAATTCTGGAAAATGCCAAAAAGCAGAAAATGATTTGATGAAAAGGGCGATGTACCGATAGCTTCCTTCACAAGTTGCTGAATATTGTGTCGTTGAACGTAGGCTTGGCACTGTGCCAATTGTGCTTCCTCGTTGCCGCTCGACATGTCCGAGACGGCTACAAAAGAAAAACGGATTAGATACGCGACAATTAGCAAAAAGCATAGGACGAAAAGCTAAGAAAAAAAACGTCAATAGATGGAGGAATATATCAAGGATTATAGACGGAAGTGATAAAAGCAATGAATGGAAAGTAGAGTAGTTTGTGATTGTAAATGCAATTCGCTTAGCTTTTCTAGTAGACAGCAGAAGAAGTTAATTTGAAAATGGAGACAAGATGAACCAATCTGACGTTAGCTGAAGAAGACCTCAACACCGATCCCCAGCAGGCAACGATGTAGTTTTGGACGGTGTTTCACACGGAAAAGTGGATTTCTGACAAAGTTCATCTTGGAGGGGGGATTTCAAAAAAGCATGTTGTGATTGGTTACTACATCGAGGCTAGCTGGCGCGATGGGCTGGAGGCAGATTTCATCGCTACGACGGCCGGGTGGCGTGCTGCGAGTATTCGCGGTGGCCAGCGTGAGGCGAAAGAGTGAGCGAGAGACAGAGACGAGGATAGAGGCGAATACGAGGCCGAGCTCCCCAAAATGTAGCAGGTCTCACACACAATCTTATTGGATTCGCTTCGTGCACAAACTGCACCGACTATCCATTATGCACGAACTACTGTTCATGTGTGGAATTCTGTGCACATGCTATGTCAAAAATACGCACACTTTTGAGAGCAAGCTAGCCTAACCACAAGAAGTTGCCCTCTTGTCTAGC